CTAAACTTCAACACATTTAACAGTAGTAATGCCAAATGAGAACACAGGGCCAGAGAAACAGGCACCATGATACTCTGCTGAAGTATGTAAACCAGAGCAACTTTTCCAAGGGCACTTTAGCAATAGATATCAAGTACCTTAATCAGTCTCTTGGACCATGTTTTGTGAATGATTACAATGACTATAGTGTCTCACTAATTCAAATTAATTGGGTGAAGAGTATGTAATAGAATGATAGATACATGTAAAATACATTTATAGGGAATGAGATATGAGTACTCTCCAGGATACCCAGGCAATTGTGACAAAGATCATATCATCTTCTTTGTCATATGTTTCTAATTAGTAAATATTCTTTGGGCAAGAATATTTTTAGTTTGGAAAAATAACCATAGGCACTATGAGACTCAGTAGCTTCTCTGAAGTAGCTCAATCTTTACTTCTGTTATCACAATTGCTTATTTAATAAACACTATTCTTGCCCATAGAATAAAAGGAATATTTTGTTCAATTCAAATAATCCAAGATTCTATGTGACTTATAAAGACCAGTTCCAAGGAGACTTTGGTGGCTCTTTTATTCCTGCAATGAAATTCTGAAGTTGGCCATGCATGGAGGACATTTGAGCAGTTGGAGGAGCAAGGTTCCAAGTAGGTGTGGGGCATCTCTGATGTTCAATTCTTACCGTCTGCGATGAAGTGCTCAGGGACATGCAGAGTCACCTTCACAGTGAGTGGACAAGACATCTGGCTGCCACACACCATGGCTAGGATGCAGGAGCTTACAGCAATCAGCGTCAGGGCCGTCTTGTTCACTGGGCTTTTCAGTAAACCTAACAACATAAGCACACACAAAAACATACAATTCATTGAGGCCAGCAAATGGGCATGGCACAGAGATTGGCAATCCTCTTATTTTTCAGACGAGAAGATGGAAAGAGAGACCACGTTTCTCAACCTCTGCTCTTGCAGTGATGCCTCAGTGGCCCCTTGTTGGGTCCTGATCTAACTCTAACTCTA